GTACTTAATAAACGTGTATATTTAATAAGGATCTTTCGTAATGTGACTTTTATCGTTGGACTCACATCTAATATATAATTTATTGTGCTCAATTACTAAAAATTGAAAGCAAGCACGAAGTATTAACAATGCTGGTGTAAGAAAAAGAAACACTTAATTTAAAAAATAATAAAATTTTCCTGAATATTCTGAAGCTTCATTTTATTAAAAAAATGAAAACATATACATATATATAGATATGTATTAGAAGTTATTGATATAAAAAAAAGTTGTTGTTACTAACCCAAGATTAGGTTGACTGGAATGGACTGTTGCTCTGATCAGAGGGGGTGGTTGAGTAATACTTTGCATAGTGGTAACTGGATATACTCCAGGATACTGAGCTGTTGCATTGTTACCACCCCCTCTACTCCTGGATTGTTGAGAATACGTTTTTGGTTGCGTAGATATTGGCTAGAATAAACGAATGTGATATATATATGTAAATACAATTTCGTTTCTTGGTTCTTTTCTTATGAGAAGAATGTTATGAAGATTAAACAAAAATATTCTTGAAATTAACATACACTGTGCATGTTCAATGATGAAGACGTTCGTATGATGGAATTAGGTTGAGAGACAAGTGCCGTCTGGAAGGTGGGTTGCCCACCGACGAGACCTGCCCATCCTCCGTTAACATTTTGCACCGTGTTCAACATCGGTTGTGTGACGATGTTCGATCTGCCCGAAGAAAGTGCCGTCGGTGAGGAATGCGCAGGGTGGGTCGTTGCGACAGGCCTAGGTTGACTAACGCGTTGCTGTATTTGCGGCGTGTTCGCGACAGATCCACGTGGTAGTATATTATGAAGAGGGGTAGCACGTGCATTAACTACCGGTTTATTCACATTATTTTGTACGTTATTTTGCGGTTTGCTCGCTGGCGGTGTAGGAGGCTGTTTCGTCCAACCGCCACCGCTACCACCACCTTTACTATTCACTAACAACTGAGAGTCCATCACTTTGGTCGGCCAGTAATCCTCGAATCCAGTTCCCGGAGGGAAGTAACTTTTAATGTCGTTCAAACTAATCACCGAGCACGTTTCACTCGCGAACAGTTCGTTACGGATACCCTGTACTTTGCAACAAAATTTCAAATACGACAAGTCCCAACCTTCTAACTTCTCGGCTTTCAACTTAAGATTCTCGGTCTCGCCCTCGAAATAAAAGAGGGGAACGTATTGAAGACCGTCCTTCACCGTATAAGGAACTACAGATTCCTTATTTATTCGTATGAACCCACATTTCTCGGGTTTCCCGCCGTTCGAGACGTTGGGATTCGTGCCTGCTGTCAACTTCGTATAACACACATCAAGAAACGTATAAAACTCTTTCGCGTCCGACAATCGGACCACTAAGTCTTTACATGTAAACTGCTCTCTTCCGAATTGATTCTCGCAGTGTTTCGCGTTTATTTCGGTGAACAATTTACTCTCCGCTTCCGTAATATAATAACTCCTTATACACGTACAACTGTAGATGTCCGAGTGCAGGTAACTCAGGTACTTGTGTAACAACTTAGATTCTAAGATCCGTACAGCGCAGTACTTCTCACCGGAGCGGAATATATATGGTATGTAACAATCGTCGAAACTTGTCCATCCGAATCTGCCCCTTTGACTCTCGTCGTCCGGCGGTAGTTTCCCTTCCGCTGGTGGTGATTTCGCTGCTACGGTAGTCGACGAATCTGCTGGTCGTTTATTTAGATATCCTATAATACTAGGTTGCGAGACGAGACATTGCGGAGGTCTTTGCTGTGGCTGGACTCCCTGTGTACCATAAACCATTTTCGCCTTGTTTGCTTCCACCATTTTGGCAGCCAATTCTCGGATTTCCGCTTCATCGGGAAGTTCCTCTTTGACAACGACTTTTTCAAGACCTGCAAAATACAACGAATATTCCTATTATTTCTTATCGCAATTATCTGCGAAATAAACGTTCATTTTATGTATAACATAAATCTGTACTTAACAATAATGAAAAAATAATCTTTTATATGAATTCTTCTTCTATAATTAAGCAAGAAATTTTTAAAGGATCTGATTTATAATTCCCTCGTTACATGTTACTCGGTATGAAATTATCTTTGTATATTAATCACTTATAAATTCTACGTTAAAAACAACAGATATCATTAATATATTGTACATTACAATTAACAAGTTCGTTCTATAAACGAACATAGTGCTACATAGTACACATATATTTATGTAAATCAAATACGTATCACTTGTACAGAAAAGCTACTGTTGCTAATTCCAATTCATTTTTCGACAATTTATAAACAAGATATTCTGTAATATGAAATAAAAATAAAACGATTTCTGTTTAAAGCTATTACATCAGTAAAACTTAGAATCAATAATCAACGGACGAAAACGCGGGAGGATGGATATCGCGTGTTAATATTGTAGTATACAATTACATCGTACATAAACATGACAGACGGTGATGATTTCGAGCAATTATTTCTTATCATTATCACCACAAATGTTCCATAAGAATCACGTTTCATTATGATTACTAATTACTTCGATTGTGAATCATGGTACAGTCCATTTCTGTGGATACAACGGAATATTTTGTTACGTTCCGTGAAATTTGGTTAGTGTCAATTTACGTTGTACTAGCAGCACGTGTTTCAAATCAATGCGCACGAGTGGTATATAGGTGACAATATTCGGCACAACAATCCACTAATATCACAACTATTAGTTTCTTTTATTCTGAATTGTTTAACTCGTATTATTTCTGGAGTATCTCACACGATCACAGTTAATATATTTTCTTGCCAGTTTTTTATTTGCAATCAAATATTTCAACTAAATTAATTAGTGAAGGAAAAATAATCACACACAACACGATTCTTATTAATAATTTATATAATTTTCAGACAAACCTAATCAGATTTCTGAACAGAAATTATTGAGAAAATCACAGAAAACGTGATTGATTTTAAGGGTAATATAAGTTTTAACTCATAAATTCATAAAATGTCAAAAACACGTGACAC